GCTTGCCCAAGCACACCTACTGTTACATGCTCTTTCCCTGTTATAAAGAGATTTTTTATTTGAGATTCTTCCATCTATAGTTGTTCACTCAACTTTGAAGTGCTAAAGAATTGAAAATCTGCAGTTTATGAAATAAATGAAAAAGCAGTAAAAATCTGTGGAGTGCAAACACTTTTGACTGGGAGTGTATATGTATACATGTTTATATATTTTTGCAGATTTCCACTACAATTTACATTCTATTTAATGTCTTTCGTGTGACTGTATGTTTAACTGTACGCCTCATGCACCAAAACTAATTCCGTGTACTTTTCATACTTGGCAAATAAAAGGATTCTGATTCAGAACAATTGTCCTGCACGCAACAGGGCTATGTGCGTTGAGCAATACACATCACATAACCAAACTTACTGTCAAAGTCTCAAGGGCCGTTCTGGCTTCAACTAGCTGTTTGAAAAATTTCACATGACATATATTTATCCATGACGACAGAACCAGCCCAGAAAAAGACAAAAACAAAGAAATAATGAGAACAGGGTGGCTGTGGCTGTGCTGTCGGCAGCTCAGGGGTGTCGGACTTTAGAGAGCTTGCAACCTAGTGTGTCCAGAGGACTGTAAAAGGATACGGAAGCAAGTCTCCACATCTCACAGACAAAATCACCCAAGCAGGCTGTAAGGAGAAAACATATATCAGATATTATATTAGTCACAATTGCTTCATCGTGTCACTGCATCTGACTGTGTTATTCCTAGTACCACTGCAGCCATGTAAGATAAATAAATCTCTGTTCGGTTAAACAGGTCAATTAAATTTAAGCAAAACATTGAATATGTGCATTTATTTTTTGGTCCAGAATTCCATCCACGCAGAGGAGCTTCAATGTGACGTCATGCTAGACAGGCTGTTTAGCGACGTCAATCAGAATACAACACAAGTGAATCTGCAGCAAGTGTCTTTTGGGGCGGGAGGGGTGCGAACCTTGACGACAGGCAGGTCGAAGACCTCGCGGGACTCTCCAACTTCGGGATTGTCCCCATCCTCAGCTATGATGTGGGTGGCCAATGCATTGTAGGAGACCTCCTTTGCCTTACCTGCCTTGAGTAACTGCACCACCTAAAGAAACACATGCAGTAATCAACCTGACGCACAAAACACATAAGTACAAAGAATTATGCTGTTTAGTCAGTAAAAATTAAATTATAACGACTACCATGTGTGTAGGAACCGAGATATTAACCATTTGTTTACATTTACATATTTGTCACCAAAACCAAGAATCATACAAACGACGACATGTTATCTATTCTATTTAATAGCAATGAAAAAACACGGAACGGCAACATAAACAAGTACAGTGTCTGGCTGCCACTTATCATCACGTTTTGAAAACGTGTGTTAATGATACAGTAGCTGCCAGCCCATCTTCGCTCTCGGTCTCACTATATGGCAGGAAGTTAAACCCCGTGCGCCATCCGCTCATTACACAGCCCCGAGCATGCGCAGAACGAAGCGCATAATTCAGCAAGACATAGGAGTCAATCAATTAAAACACATACGGCTCATTTGCCAGGCATCGGTTTGAACAAAATAAGCACCGATAAGAGCACGAGAAAACCGACTCCGCAATATCAAACTCCGTGCAGCCACTCGATCGGCACTTTAATGCATTAGCAAGCTAGGTACGACCAAGCCAAGCAATTCACACCACTGCAGAATGGTAGCTATGAAAACTCTTAATTCTCAAAGGCAGTTTCAAAGGTAACTAATACGATCGTAACTTTTTTCCATGTGGAGGTTTCTCCCAATGCGCATGGAAGAGGTCCCCCCATTGAGCAATACTTGTTAGTGTTTTTTTTGTAAACAAGAACTGATAGCCAGTTAGCTATGTAGCTTTTAGGATCATTTCACCTTTTGGTCAATATCCCCAACCACGTAGAATTTGACATCTTTAAACAGCTCGTCCGGAACTTTCAGCTCCTCATCCGACATTATTTTGAAGAAGGTAATCCAGTGAAAAGAAGTGACTGATCAGCGGACACAAAACAACACAAAGTTATTTTCGTAGCAATATTTCTTCCTCTAACAGTACATAAGCGCCAAACAGTACTAAGCGCGCTTTGGGGCGTAAGCATTAGTCTCCGTAGGGGTGCATGAAGGACATTATACTCACTTTCGTTCATTTATAGGTTATGTTGCCAGATTTTATATGTTTATATATGTATATAAATACAAAATGTACTATTTCTGTGTTCACTGTACAACCATCGATGATTTATCGTGTTTACTAATTTGAAGCACTTTCGTGATTCCCCCCATGTATGAGAGTTTGAAAGTGGTAGGAGGGGCCAAATTCTGGGGTTTAGGCTTTGACGGTAAGGCGCCACATCGGTGTATGTATAAGCATTAACAGATAGACGCAATCAGAATAGCTGCTAAATTGTGGAAATTAGTGTTCTTCTCACTTGTCCACGACTCAGCATTTTATGTCAGGACCACGCTTTCTTTAGATCTATTATGTTATCAAAGAAGTATGAACTACAAAGCGCCAAGAACACGCGGAAAATATGCGACGCATAACCTTAATGCTTTGTATGATAGTTTCATTAGTTCACTTTATTCGGGTCGTGCAATTTTATCCAAAGATTATAAATGTTTCCCTGTGTGGTCTTGCAGTCTCTAGCGCCATTTAAAGATCGTTGCCTCCTTTCTGTGCTGTTACTGTGTGTTACCCTGTGTTTCGCGTTTTGCAAATTAGGATATCCCTTTCAATTCTTGGAGAAGGATCAGACGAAGAGGGATGTTATAAGATGTGTTTTTTGGAGTTTATTTTATAAAAGCTTATTCTTAGCCTCCACTATTTGCGAAGACGATAAATAAATATGGGACATAATATGGGAGTTCGTTTATGTGCTCAAACACCTCCAACATTGTGGCATTTGCTTAGACACCACGTGTGGGAATCTAAACTTGTATAATACTGTATAAAAGGTTAAACCTTTCACACCACTCTCAGCTCTAACGACAAGCCCTCTTTTCGGATAAAATCAGCAATGGTTTACTCACAGTACAATTTCCTTAGTCACTGCACCACCCGCCGCTTGTAAAAGTGGGCAGTAATCCGGGGGCCTTCCGGCCGCTAAACTTGCCTGAGTACTTCCGACTCCCTAACCAACGGAGAGACTTGACTGACGGGGGTGGGAGGTCGTCTCCACTGGCATTTGCATCTGCAGGCTGTGCAGCTTGATTAGACTCAAGGGTCTGTGAGTAACTCCACTTACTGTCGTTGGTATTCATGGCTGTCAATGTTCATCACCAGCTAGCAAAAAAAAAACCAAGCGCATTCACTGACAATACAAAGCAACAACAAACAAACAAATTTATTTTTGTATAGCACATTATCACAACATTACATCGTCTCAAAGCACTTTACAGCATCCCCACCCAAAGCCCCCAGTGAGTAAGCCATAGGCGACAGTGGCAAGGAAAAACTCCCGAGAAGGAAGAAACCTTGTGAGGGGCCAGACTCAAAGGGGGAGCCAATCCTCCAGAGGCCGGCAGGGAGAGTCAAATACAGTAAAATTTCAGACACAAACGGAGCAGGGGGGAGATGACAGCCGGTGCCAACGCTCCCTCCAATCGCCAGGCAACCAGAAGGCAGGGAGCGGGTTATACAAGGAAGATGACACAGGCAGAACGGCGAGCTGGATGCACGGACGTCATTGGTAGTGGCGACGTCACATGTTGCAGGGTCTGCTGGACATCTTGATAGACTGAGGTCTCCAAGCAGCACCCCCCAGGAGGAGTAGGGGAAATAAAATGTGCAATTAGTCAAAGTAGGGGAGACTATACGCAGGGCTAACAGTTAGGTGAGTGCAATATGAAATGCAATGTGCAAGCTCCGGCAGATATGGCTACGGCAGCATAAGTAGGAGGGAGAGGCAAGTGGGAATGCAGGCATGGGGAGTCCCTGAAATGTCAGCACTCCAATCCCACAAGCGATTGTGAAGCTAGAGTGACAGCACTGTCAATTCAGTTTATCCAAAGCCAATGGCACCGATCCCCACCCAGCTCTACACCTCACACTATAGGTCTGACTGGGAGTGAGCAGTTAGCTAGAGCTAGAACTAGTGTCCCTATAAGATAAACTAAACAGGTGTGTTTTTAGTCTAGACTTGAATATTGAGAGTGAGCCTGAAACCCACACTTCCGGTGGAAGACCATTCCACAGCTGAGGAGCTCTACAGGAGAAAGCTCTGCAGCCTGCCGTAGCTCTTTCTACCCTGGGTACTAACAGATATCCCGCGCTTTGAGAATGAAGCAAGCGCAGGGGGTTGTATGAGGTCAGCAGATCATTAAGGTATTCTGGTGCAAGGCCATTCAGTGCTTTGTAGTTTAATAGCAGTATTTTATAGTAAATCTGAGACTTAACTGGTAACCAATGAAGAGAGGATAAGACTGGTGTAATGTGGTCAAATTTTTTAGTGTTTGTTAGATCTCTGGCTGCTGCATTCTGTACCAGCTGAATTTTATGTAAGGATTCAAAGGTTGTGGATAAACATTTAATCAAAATTGTTAATATATGAATGATTATGTATATATGTTGAAAATAATATGCATAATAATATCATATACAGTGGTACCTCAGAACTCGAATTTAATCCGTTCAGAACTCCGGATCGAATCCTAAAAAGTTCGAGTTGTGATCGAATTTTCCCTATAAGAAATAATGGAAAACCAATTAATTGGTTCCCAGCCCCAAAAAATTACACCTAAATATGTTTTTTTTTTTTAGCATTTAAACACAAAATGAACTGGAAAAAACAAGAAGAGCATATACTGTACTAAACACATCTAAGCACGTTTATCAAAACAGTAATTTGTAAAGTAAGAAAATGTATCCAAACAATGTGTAAAGTTAAAAAAAACAATGCGTCCTGCCCCGATCATCCGCTTCTTCCGTGTGCCACGCCCCCTCGTTAACCCCGTGTGGAATCCCCGCCTGATCGGCTATTTCTGGTTGTTGCCATTAGTCCTCTGTATTTCGTCCGTGTTTCAGTTTGTTTCCCCAGCCCGGTCATTGTATTGTCCGTCTGCGTTTTGCCTGCCTTACCTGTAATTAAACCCGGTATTCCCGATACCCTGACGTCTGCGTCTTTGTCTCCGTTCTGTCCCCGCTGGGCACCACAATATTATTATAATAAAATGTATTAATGGTTTATTATTAATATTAAAATAATTAATAAGAAATCTTTATTTTAAAATGTATTTTATTATATAATAATAATTACTGTTACTGTCTATCATTGTCTGAATGTATTTTTACTGTCTAAATATATGTATTCAGCTAGTGTAAACATGCAGGATGCTATCACAGCGAATGCCAGGCTGAGACTGAAGCGTTACCCTTTGTTTCCTCTGAGAGACGTGTGGCGTGACTCATTTCCCCGCGTGTACAAGTTATCTTAGGTCGGCGTTCACGGTTTGACTTCCGAGATTCAGATCGAGTTCTAGGTAATTTTTTTTTTCGAACTGGTTGGTTCGACTTTTAAGAAATTCTAGCTCTAATGAGTTTGAGAACTGAGGTACCACTGTAATTATGTGTAACAGTGTTTGCAAAACAACTAAACAACCTATAGAGGCTGTATATCGTCATCCTTCTATTCTGCATGATACATGTCTATCACGGAGTTGCACAGCGTGGTGCACAGTGTCCATACATGCAGCAGTAACAGTGATTAATGTCCAGGCCTTATTTATCAATGACATGGCCTGTGGAAAGAAGCTGTTTGAGCAGTGAGTTGATTTAGTTCTTAATGATGCTAAAGTGTTTAGCAGAGGGGAGCATTTGGGGGTCATCGTGTCACTGCTTAAGACAGAGCTTCCAGATGGAGATTGGGAAGCTGGTTGTCAGATTGCAACCAGAAGAGGTGGAACGGTCATCAGAGTCTTGGTTTATCCCATACCATTTAGCAGTGTTAGGCATTTCAGGTCCAGAAACTACAAATCCAGACCAAGATTTTGTTTCTACCAACCAGTTGAGTGCTCTGTGACTGTGACTCTTTATACTCAACTTGTTGGTAGAACCAAAATCTTGGTCTGGATTTGTGCAGCATAATGGAAAGAACAGAGTGGTTTTCAGCTGTCCATTCCAGTGTCAGGGTGACGATCTAAATTAGCCCCTCCTCCTATAACCTATACTAACTCCTTTATTTGTAGTGCTCCTTCAATTTAGAGAACGTAAGCTGGCTATCTCAAATGACAAGCTTGTCTGGATGCATGTGAGTGGTAGGTCTAGTCCTTTGGAACGACGCCATCGACTTTCTGTGCATAGTCAGAGGTACCATCGGAGGTTCTGTAGAACTGCACAGAAGTGACAAGGGACATGTATTGTGGGCTGTAGGGTGAGGATGCCAGTGGGCTTTCTCACTGCATCATGAACTTCATCTGCTTCTATGTGAACATAGATATTCCCTAGAAAACAGTTTGTTGTGTCTTAAATATAACAAGCTCTGTATTGTGAAACGCATCAAAACACTCCCCACGAAGAAGAGTAAGAGGAAATTTCTGGTAGGACAGGCAGACTGATTGGGCTCTTCATTGGCTCTTAATTCATTCATTGGGCATGAGCATTGAGCAAAGGCCCTTAACCCCGAACGCTCCAGGGGCTGGCTGACCCTGCCTTCTCATACTCACTGCTATGTTGCTTTGGCCAGAAGTGTCTGCTTGGGGGCCAGTATGCAGAGGTGGAGATTTCAGGT